CCCTTTCTCGCTCGGCTGTGGCTTGCGCGATATGCTGCGTCGAGAAGTGTTCAGCCTGGCTCCGTTTTGTATCCTGTGGCGTTTTTTTTCTTCTTTTTTTTCGCGTCTTCGGCCTGCTTGTTTTCGATCAATGTACGCTTCTTTGAATCTCAACTTAGGAGTCCGGCCTAGCTGTTCAACCAATCGACCATAGCGAAGGCCAACTATGAAGAATCCCTACAGAAGTCGTTCTTTAATTTCCGACGATGGGTAGTTGCAGAGTTTGAACAGATTGCAGGGTTCGGCAGAAAAGATATTAACAGTCCCAGTCGGCTGATGCACCCTTCTGAAGGATTCTGCCGAGTTTTAGTCCTCGTTTAGCGGGTGAATGAAGTGGGCCATTTACTTGGCAACCACGGCGGCCTAGTGGCTCGAACTGTCGCCGAAGACAAATGTCAAAAGAAGCGGACGAGCTCCTGGGCCCATGGATTAAAGTAACTTGCGATCCGGGGCTTCCTATAGCATAATGACAGAGGCCAGAGGCAAAAGCGTAGCCTTCTAACAGGCTTAGCCATGCTGGCTAGGAGCTGGAGTTTTCCAGTCGAAGCGGTCTGGCTTGCGCAGAAAGGCCTGCCTATAACGGAGACTGATCTTTTTCTGCCATGACGGCGAGATAGACGATGTGCTGATTATCGGCTAGCGGGAAAACGCGTGCTCACCGAGCGGCGTCGTAAGCAGGCGAGGTGTGCGGGGGGCGGGGTTGAGTACCATGACGGGGAGGGGGAGGGGTGTATCTCTTGTCTGTCGGTGCATGGAAGACCTAACTCGCGGTGTGGCCTCAGACATGTAAACGGAATTGACAACGTGCCGATCGGACCACTGACACCATTTCGATAGTTGAGAAGCTGAATCTGCGTTCTGGAAACAGAAAGACAAGGTTCATTCGTTTACTCCCGTATATAAACGGAAGCTGTCCCAGGTTGCTCAGTGCACCACAAAGTGACGGAGGGCTTAGCCTTCTACAAGCTGTTTTGCCACAGAAGTCTCCAGACATGGGAGAGAGAAGATAAGGCGGCGGCCTGCTAGGAACGGGGGACACTCGCCCCTTCACCGCCGTAACAGATCGGCAGATTCGCCTTCCTCTTTGTTTCAGACGAAAGTATGGCCGTTAAAAATGTATTTTAATTCCGCAATTTTTTGTATTTCTTGGTAGATGTCTCTGAGGCAGCAGAGTAGCCGTGTAGAGTAACTTAAACGTTACAGCTGATGGTTGCGTGAACGACGCAACTCTCTTTTTATATTGCACGCGAGCCGCTTCATAACTGTTTTATAAGATTCCGCATGGCCCCACGTGTTCTCAATACAACAAAGAAACATAGCTAAGAGATGCTGCTTGCGACTCGTAAGACGCTTCGGTTTGCAGGTCGCTTAAAATGCAAGGTCAGGCACGTGTTTGACAAAACGGCTTACGGATCACACGACGCGTTGGAAAGATCCGATCCCACAGAACACCGGGCATTCGCAAAATGATGCGCGTTCATTTCACTGTGATATTGACTGGCGCCTGATGGGACTACACTATGGTTTACAATTACAGATGTTAGGGCACCATTCCGCCATAACCGGCTGCGTTCGCACGCAAACCCCGACTTGGCGGCGCGAGAGAATGATAAAGCCTCCGCGATTTAGCCCTCTCTTCATCGCCATTACACTCCGCAAATCCACGTAATCAATTACAAGACACCACTGCTCCCTCTTTGTTTCACTCCCCCCCCCCCCCCCTCCCTCCACAGGCGCCGCTTCGAATTTTTGAAAGGTTCTCGCTTTTATACGGCGCTTCGTCAGTTTTCACTCTCTCTGGGCACAACACGAGCGATTAGCCTCCAGTCCGAGGATCGGGAGCAGCAAACGCGGAGCGCTGAGCAGAGTCACGGAGGGCCGCATCAGTACTAGAAGAGGAAAGGGCATACGATCCCGAACATAAAGCTGCGGTCGCAAAAGGCAAGAGAAAGTACTTAACGGCAGCTGCTCACAAACCGATTCTTTCGACCAGTCGCCTGGTCGTATGGCTGCTGAACTAATCAGCGGAGCCTCGAAACTCACGTTTGTTTCTATCCGGCACGAACTGTTAAGGGGAAAAAACAACATGTCACTGTGATGTCCTTCCAGCGCTTTGGCTAGTGGGCTCTGATCCCCCCCCCCCCCCAGCACGTTTAAAGAATACCCATTCCTTTAAGTGGCACCGCAATTACAGCAAAAGCCCCCCCCCCCCACCCCCTAAAAAAAAAAAAAATTGGTCGGAAGAAATTTTTGCAAATTTGACGTGACAGTGAAGCGCTGTGCCACGGTAGCTCGAGGGAGTGCACGCCGATGTAGAGGCTGTACGTCAATGTACTAGGGTTCCGGAGGACCCAGGTCAACATGACGAGTCCTTATTGAGATGGAAACAACGACACATAAGTAGCTGTTGGACAACAAATATAGGAAAACAGTGAACTCGAGGTGTGGGGTGGAAGACTGCATCTACCTGGCGGCTCCCGATTGCTGCTGAGAGGTGACTCGCCGATCGTGCCTCCCCGATCGCCCGCAAGCTTGTAGTGTGAAAGTTAGAAGTCGCTTGTCGCTAGCATAAATGAACCTTTCTCACTCATGAATGAGATCCCTCAAGCTCACTCAATCTTATTGCCAAATGTGAGTTGAGCGTGAGTGAGACAAAGCGCCACAAAAAGTTGTGAGAGTACGTGTGAGCGTGACTGTGAGTGTGACTTTTCAGAACTCGTGGGTGTGAGTGTGAGTGTGAGTGTGAGCGGGAGTTTTGAAAACTCATGCGCGTGAGTGTTTTGATCGTGATGGAGCTGTGAGTGTGATGACGGTGATAACCTGGGATTGTGATGACCTTATAATCAGCTGTGAGTGTGCCATTTTTCAAATTCGTCTGTTGTGTCTATCAGGATTTTTGAAATGTTTTGACGCATTCTTTAAAGATTTTGAGGGGTCTGAGATATCTGTCGAAGTTTTTTTAAAGGGCCGTACGTACCCTTCAGAATTTCCAAGGGTGTAAGAGATTCGTCATCAATCTATAGAGGCCTGTGTGGCCTGCACCAATCTTTTTCGTGAAAGCACGGGACCGATCAAAATCGTTTTAACGGGTTTGTGGGAGAGATTTGCATATATTTTTCGGGGTGTAGCGTACTGTTCTTGTTCATTATTTTGGTTGCCAGCATTTTGTGAAGGTTCTTGGCTTTTGTTATATTCGAAATTAACGCTGGAGGGACGTCACACGTTTGATTTCATTATAACAAAGGTAGGCGCAGAGGAATGTTGATATATTTCATGGTGGCTTTATTTGGCTCTGTACAAACCACGCGTCTCTCTGCGTTTGGCGTCTGAACAAATCGTCGTCATGATGTTAAACTTAAAAGCGCACTCGAAATATGATCACTGTAAAAGCATAAATGCACAACTAGAATGAACAGTTACTCAGCGATAACTGACAACTCTTGTTCTGTAAATTTCCGTCAGCGGCATATGTCGGCTACCTTTGTATTTGGCATTGCGACTGTTATGCGAGTATGCCGTATTATAAGCTAAACTTCGCCTCAGATTGAAGAGAACCACCCAGCAGACGGCACGTAGGACGTTAGCAAAACACGCAGCGCCGCCTCACGCTTACACTGGGAGGTGGCCAAAGGCACCGCCCAGTATGTGGAATACAGTGCTTACGTACCCTGCATCGTCCCGTTCGCACAGCTGAGCCACTCTGCAAGAGGGTGCCTGCACTTATTTTTCTTGTTCATGCCCAGTTGGTGGATAGACGCGCCGGGAGTATTCTTGAGTCCTTGTTTAAATGATTACAGCTTGGATAGAAGTTGCGTGTGTTGGAGGAATTCGGCGAGCTTGAATTGGTCGAGAAGATAAGGTCTCACCCGGCGACGGTGAGGTGGGCCTCTTTAGGCCTAGCTGCAAAGAGCCCGTTTGAGAAGCGCCAAGGACGCGAGCTTGTCAAAGTCGTAGTCGAGGAGTGAACGTACCCTCCGTATGGTCGCCGTTTTCGCAATGGTGGGAGATGGTGTCACCACGTATGCTTCGGAGGTGGCGATGGAGCGTTCGGGAGTCTGATTCTAGAAGGAATGGCCATCGATTCCAAAGGTGTCACCGCAACCTGACGGATATCGATCTCGGTCACCGCCAGCTCCGTTCCATCCCGCCGGCGAACTTCACAGAGTGCCTTCATTTCCGGGCGTCGTACCTTTCATGTGCGGAAGATTCGGGCGGGCGTCCACTTCTTGGCTCAAGATTAGCGGCAGTGTAATTTCTATTCCCTACCGCTCTTCCTTTCATGCGCTGTCCATTCCTGTTGGGTCGTTCCAGTTATTTGACTCGTGATTCTGCTGTGTGACGCCTGAATTTGAAGAGCGCTGTTTGTATAGTAAGTTCTCCGTTACGTTTTATAGGCCCGTCACGATCATTCGGGCGAAGCGTGATCAAAACTGATGCGGTGTGCTGTTGTTTTGCACTTGTTTTGTATTCCGTTTACAAGTAAATCAAAATATACATCTTTTTGCGACAAAGAACTCGGTTGTTCCTATTTGGTCTGATTTATTTTGTCTACAGCAGTTTGCACGGGGTTTTAGCACACGTTCGTTCATATCGTTTTTTTTTACTTCAATATTGTTTTAAATCGCATTGTTGGTCTGTGGCTCACACTAATTAATTTGGGTGTCGAAATGGTCGAAAGGTTGATAGGATTCGAAGGGCTGATGGGGTTTGAAGGGTTTTTTGGCAGATTTGCCTGAGCTTCCACGTCCGCAATTATCACCGCAAAGGTTACAAGCGCGGCCGCGTTACTCTTACTCTTTTTCCCGTTGTAATGCTGAACGAAAGTGACTGCGGGCGAGGCGTTATAGAAAGCAATAATGTAGCACTCATAGTCTTCATTATGGGCGGTGTTAAAGTCAGCCAAAACCTAGGCGTTGTCAGAGCATGCGACGCAATTAATTTATTCAATAAAATGTTCATACCTTTTCTAAGAGATGTAACGTCGTATGACCCTTCGTCAAGTTCACGCATCATCTCGAAGAAGATAGACGGTGAAGCGTAGGCCATAGTGCATCTGGAATATTGCATGTTTTTATTTATGATAGACTAGCGAATGATAAAAAATATTAAGGTGGGATAATGAGCGAATCATAGCCGATCATGCGTACGGCTTCAGTTAAATTCATGTTTTGGTATCCAATCTTCTCAAGCTATAACTGGTACGTCGCATTCTTTATTCTTTATTCATAAGTTACCCCGCATTGCCCGAAGGCGTTACTGCAGGGGTGTTACAAACGTGAAAAAAACAATTCTTCGGTTGCAGAGCACACTTGTTCCTCCGACAGCTTGTTCCATTGTTGGATGGTCTTGACAAAAAAAAGAATTAGCGTACATGTTTGTTCTGGCACGGTATTCTCGTATTTTAAAACAGTGATCGGTCCGGCTTGAAATATAGTGCGGTTGCTTTAGGTAATCGTCTTTGTTAATGCCCAGTCGACCATTAAATATTGAAAACAAAAATTTCAGTTTTAATTTGTTCCGTCGGGCTGAGAGTAATTCCCAATTTAATTCTCTTTTCATGTCAGTACAACTATCCTTTTGCCCATATCGTCCCAGAACAAACCTCGCTGCCCTATTTTGAATTTTTTCTAGTTTTTCAATTAGATACTTCTGCGCAGGGTCCCAAACAACACATGCATATTCTAGAATTGGTCTAACACATGTCAGATATGCCGTTTTCTTCAAGTTTGTTTCGGAACATTTTAAATTTCGCTGAATGAAGTTTAATGCCCTGCCGGCCCTTAAGACTACATCATCGACTTGGGCGTTCCATGAACAGTCATTCGATAATATAACACCCAGATATTTGTACGTACATTCTGTTTTGATGAAGTCATTATTTATATTGTACTGAGTATCGATTTTTTTCCTACTCCTAGTAAAACTTAAATGGACACACTTTTTTGGATTCAAATTCATCTTCCATTTACAACACCAGTTTTCAACACGTACCAGGTCACTCTGTAATTGTTCTGCGTCATGCTCACTCGTAATGCTTCTATATAAAACACAATCGTCAGCAAACAGTCGAATACGGGATGTTATTTGGCTAGAAATGTCGTTAATATAAATTAAAAACAAAAGGGGTCCCAAGACGGAGCCCTGGGGGACTCCAGATGTAACATCAACGTAATCAGACTGCTTGCCGTTCAAAACCACACATTGACGCCGCTGGAACAAATAGCTTTCAATCCACCTAATAACAGTTGAACAGTTATTGCGTCATAAGCGAAACTGAGCGATACGGCCCTTTTCACGAGGAATGCCGTCTTTGCCGAATCGCCACGCCGTACCTGAGGTCAAGCGATTCGCTGCCCCTGAGGACTTAGCCACGCAAAGTCGCGCGTGAGGTTGAGAAAATAAAAAAGGTAACCGGGAACTTAATGTTGGTTCTGACTAAACACAATACAGCATAAATATTGTCTGCGACTGATTAAAAACAAAATAACAGAAGCGAACGTTGAAAAAACAGAGTGCCAAGTTATCCAGTATAGGCAGGTTTCCGGCGTGGTTTGGTCCCGAAGATAGCTACCTAAGGCATGATTATGGCATTCGCGTGACATGACAGTGACGCAGTTGACGAGCAGTGAAACGTGCCGCGCCCGAAGGCAAAAATTCTCCCCCTATTAATGACTCTGAGTACGAGCAAGCATGCTATGATGCTCCTTGTGTGTTGATGCATGATATCAATGTTATTGAAGAGGGCGATTTCTTCTTATCTTTGCCAGAAAAGGCTGTGATTGCGATAATGTTGAATGTTCTTATAGGTTTTTTGAAAGGTCAGTAAAGATTTTTATATTGTAATTGATTCATTATTCTAAATTTTGGCAGAGATAAAGTTTCGGAAGGCTAATATATCCAGAAAGTGTTAGCCGTAATAACATCAGATGAGAGCAACTGAGTTGATTATTAGTTGTCAAGTTTACTTTTATATTAATTCCGTAAAGCACTTGAAAAGTTTATATTCTAGCACATGATAGGGATTTTTAGTGAAGTTAATTTATATCAGGCTAAACAGCCCGGGATAATACGAGGTACATCAGATAAAACACTGCTTGTTTGCTCTATATATGAATTATTCATTGTCATTGAAAGGAGCGGGTGGGCTAGTGGATATATATGTTTTTAATTTTGCTTAAGCTTTTCATTGCTTCTCACACAACGAACTGCAATATAGGTTGGGCTGCATTACTACTACCAACAATATTTCATACATCGTTTAGAGCGCATCAGAATTATTCTTATATTATATGAGCATTGACGGTGTCTTTTTACTGAGTAATAGCTTTTTTGTTTGTTTTTTTGTCACTCCTAAAAGCCCAGTCCTTGAGTTACTACTGTTCTCCAATATTATGGATATGGCTAAAATAGGAAACTCATAAATTCAATGTCACTGCCTTTTGGACAATCGATTTCTATTCTAGATTGAAATTCGTGTCTGAATCGAAATTACAGAATATTCTACCTCCTTTATATATTTAAAGCGCACAAAATGAGCTACGATGTTGAACACGAAATGTTTCTTCATTCGTATGAGACGGGAAGAGGCAAACATATTTATTATTCCAATTTTCTGAACCAGTCGATTTCTTTAGTTCGTATTAATTACTTGGTGCTTACCCATGTCAGCTTTGACATGGAGTACTTACATTCACTTCGACGCGAGAAGGCTATGTAGAAACTCTGGTATTTGAAGCGTAAAATTAGTCACTGAGAGCCGAAAACCCGTACAACGAATTAAAGAACAAACTTTGAAGAATAAGAAAAATGTTTACAATTTAGAACAGACAATACTTTAAATATGAAATTTTCAAAGCCTGTAAAATTGATTGGAGAGGAACATTATCTAAAATACGGGCTTGTCAATTCCATTGTGTTAGTGCACACGTCATAGCAAGATATGTCACCTTTGTAGGACGACAATGTCTGTTTAAAACGGGTCTGTACAAGCTTCAATGTCAAATGGATGCAATACAGCACAGCAGAAACTGGGTTGCAGGTTCAAAGAGTTAAGAATAATGTCGATATCAAATTTTAGAAGCATGCGTCCGTAGCTGGCCTCAGTGCCACAATGCAGACGTCATTTTATAGTACAACACAAGATAAACTGGAATATTTTTGAAAATCTTTAAAAGACTTGTGTCACCTGTGCTTTGCGATGGTCTCCAAGGTCGCTTTTGGCGAGAATGCAAGGCCCGGCATCACTACTGTGCAGCCGAACATTGTGGCAGCCAACACGCCCAGCGTTCTTCCAAATCCGTAGATCAACTCTCCGTTCAGACAAATAGATTCCGGCTGGAAACAAGAGCCATCCGTAAAACAATCAAAGAAGCACGTCTTCAGTTTTTTACACTTTCCCCTTTTCGTGAGCCTCGCAGATCAATGTGGCCGATTCTTCAATGTAAAACATTTCTTCGAGATTCTTCTGCGCACCGAGATTGAACAACCATTCACTATACGTCAATTCAGTAATGCTAGAGGCTGCGTATTACCAGTTTATTTAACCTGTTATAATTGCAAAAATTGAAAATAAGACACTCGTTGCTATAATAGCGAGGTCCTTCAAAACATTTTCCCAAGCGAAAGTGAATACTCGTACATGCCTGAAAACATATGCACCCGTATTCACCAGGCGCGACTAACTAGCACCGTTTTAATGTTAGCAGCACGACTAAGTAGTCGCGAGCTGAACGAGATATCCGCGAATATCGATCGTTTGTGTTGCGCGGTATTCACGAACGCGAAGCGAGCGGGTGACTATTTAATCAAAACTTACAAGCGGAAGTGACGTAAAAAGATAGGTTACGCATATGAATACTTAAACGTCACTGTGCAAATGGGTATTTTATCGTAAAAAACTAAACTTTAAATGTTAATCAGGAAAAAAAGTTACAATGAGAGACATATTGTCCGATACAGAGTTTTGCAAGGAAAATTTTAATAACAACGCCAGGGAGAAACACGGAAGCTGCATTGCCAGCGACATAAACAAATATGGAAGCGCCCGTAAATACGTTTTTTTCTCGTCGTCCAGCGCCCTGCTGAAATCTATTTAGCGGTATCTCTGACCGCTGAACATGGCTATTTACACATTATTTGCTCCTCCGATTCTTTCTAGATGTGTCCCCCAGTTTTCCGAGGCAGTAAGTGCTTCGTTAGCACGGTGCGGTCAGCGGTGATACGAGTCGGCCATGGCGCTGAGCCGCCAGCCACCCCTCTAAACACCAGCTAAACTAGCCCTACTCCACGACGAAAATTTTTAAGTCTACTTCTTAGTCACATGGGGTGACTAGGCCCTAAACACGACCGGTAAATACCAAGCTCTTACTTAGCGGCGATTATCGCTCGAAACGTGATCATTTTAGTCGATGACGTCACTACTCAGTGATTAAACAGGCGCTACTCGCGCCTGATAAAGACGGCTGATGCTCTTTAGCTAGTGGATCACTACAACAAACCGTTTTGGGCTTCGTTCGTGTGACATTACGAAATAATGGACTAACCGTAATTGAACGTGCATATTTCAATTTTTGTTTTTGTAGAAATAAATACGTTGGCAAGTCTGGAAGGGATTTAGTTGTGTGTCAACCAATCTGCTGTCATTGCGCTGTAACGCTACTGACACGTAATGTTTGAGCAGATATCTCCTTGTCGATTGAATTCAGAGCGCCCCAAGCCGGCAAACTTCTAAATGTGCATCACGAGCTCTGCAATAGCAACAAAGGGATCACCGAGAGGCAGTTTTTGATCGCGTTGTTTTTCAGCAGTACAGCAATGTTTTTGGTCAGGGCAAATTATTTTGGGTTTTAACAATGTCGGTGTCTTGAAACCATCTCGGTATCCCTTCTGTTTCGAGTTTTCAGTAATGTCGAGTTTCTCCACTCCTAGATGGCGCTGATTGTGCAGATATATTATAAAATAAATTACAGCAGAAGCCGAAAGTTTTGGAGGCTATATTGTTATTCTTATGTTCCTTGATAATGGAATCTAGAAATATAAACACGCCGACGTCGTTCAGGAAATTGGAACAAAGATAGTGCGTGCGCAGACACCAATGATAGAATTAAATTACTTAACTTGCTTTCTTCTGTAAAACTGGAACATAGAAATGGCTCACTTTTCTTTTGTTCTAGCATACGGTATGCCCTTAGCTAAATGGGCGCGACCAAGCGAACGTGTAACAAAAGGAAGAATTAACTGCCTTATACAGCAGCGTTCCTTCCCTCCTATAGAAAAGTGAAATTCCTTATCAGTTTTGTAGACACCTTTAGTCTTCCTTTTGTGTCAACTTTTGTTTGCCACCAGGATCTGATTGCGAGCCTCCCAGGATTCCGGGGCATAATTGTGCATAATGCGGAAACTTGAATTCTGCATCCGTCCATAACTCAGTGGTTGAGAAGACAGCAATATTTCCTCACATTCAAAGTATGAGTACCACGGTTCAGATTTTATGGAAAGTTTGAAGCGTGAGGGGCAAGCGGTTCGGCTGACAGCAGGCCCTTTGACCATCGAAAGGATTATTCCTTAGCTTACACCTATTTGGCGCCCATAATACTTCTTTGTTCTTCTGCACCGTTATAGACGGCTCATATAGGACATATGTTCAACATATTTACGCGCGTGCTAGCCGGCGCAATGACGGCATTTTCGTTGAGGTCTTTTCGGTGTTTGGCCCAGTGTAGAACGACTCGCGCGGTTCATCAAACAATGCAAAATATAGACGGGCTGCGAAATTATCGTCTTCCGCAAGATGGAAGATAGAACTAAATCAGAATCAACCACAAAATCCTGATTTGAATCCGCTTTTCTCAAAAACGTACTTTGCAATCGCCTAACTGCCAGCAACTCCAGGCAGGGGCAAAGCAGCGTGCTGCGCTAAAAACTCTTCCTTTCTTACGTTTTTTGTTTACACTGCCCGTCGCATAGATGATATTTTTTGTCCCTGTTGTTCGCCGCTCCATTGAAAGAGATCTAACGAATTCGTAGAGTTGTCCAATAAACCGTCGAGCGCGCCTTAAAAGCGCACATTTCGGCAATTGAGTCAAGCTAGCCAGCCGGCCGCAAAGATACCCAAGTCGATCCTTGAGCCACTTCCGGCTGCCAACTTCCGAGTTGATTCGGCCGGACCGTGCGGCAAGCTTCTGGTTACGCCACGCCAAAATACGCCGATACGGCGATATCTGTCTCGGATTTAATGGGTGTAATGCATTTTTTTAAATTGGTCTTATGGATAGTTTCTTTTTCAGTCGCGCGTCTATATACACATTGCCAATGCTTAACATTCTGACGAAAAAAAAACTATCGGTCATGTCACGGAGTGTTGTCCACGAATATACAGTCTAACTTTAAATGTCAATAGGGCCACTATGTATTTAAGTTTCTAAATTCTAACTGCTAAAACATCTTGGAATCACGGGCAAATAATCTTTGATGAAATTTGCCAGATAACGTGAATATTTGAAATTGCGCTAAGTTAATTTTATGCTATTATACAGCTAGTTAACTTTTTACACAGGATATCATTTATCAGCCGCAATTTATAAGGAGCTCCTATATATCGTGTGTAACGCTCAATGGCCACAAAAACCCAACACCGAAAGCGTAACGCCCATAAGGAACCTCACAGAAAATGTCTTATTGTATGCTTTGCTCTACTTGAGTCTTTATCCTTGTTAGCTCATTTGGTAGGGCCCTCCACTGGAAAAGGGGAAGTTCCTGTATGATATTAGGACCAGACGAAGTTTCTCGGTCGCACGCCTTGTCACCTAGCAGTCTTTGGAAATTTGTGTTCGTCCTTCGTTACCGTGTTCCCCTTTACCAAAAATTAGAATCGTCAATCGTTGTACTTCATTCCCCCTGCAGGATTTTAACTCACCACCATGAGTTTGTTGGTCAAGTTTTTTATATTCGATTGGCACGTAAGACCGTATTGAGATTTTCGTCCGTGGGCTTTATACCACGTGGCTATCGCGTCACCGATTTCTGCAATCCGAGCCTCGTCTGGGAACGCGCGAAGTAAAATAGCCTAGCGCAATTTCAATTGCGAATTTTGTGGGTGTGATTGACTTGAAATGCGTTTATTCTGCCAACGTACAACGTTTTCTTTTTTTTTTTTGTTTCTGACAAAGAAACCGAACGTGGCGATATATTTTGTCTTTTTTGTTTCTGTCCGCGTTAGCTGGTTTATTTTCTCACGTGATATTTGGTTCCACGCGTGAAAGACGCCGCAGAAACTTTTCCCGGCTGACGCGGCGCAACGTCTGGTACTCCTCCGGCTCCGTGATAAGAGATTCCATAAAAACCCGTCTATCACACCGCAATCTTTCTTGTGGCTGTAATGCACTGAAGTATAGTGCTCGAGCGCGGAGTGCGTGGAGGCATCTCCAAACGCGCCACCGCGAACCTATGACCTTGCCGCCACCTAGGCCTCTTCGAGCAAGTATATGCTGGTGTCTCTATTCTGGTGTCGGTTATTGAAGCTATCGACGCTAAGCGCTAAGCCTGTGACGCTGCTCTGTGTCACTATGCACGGAAAAGCGGAGCGGAATTCTTTGCAGCACAGTGGTATTTTGGGATAGTTGGTGTAGCATTGTAAAAAGGTTAGGTTAAAAATGAGCGAAATTGGCACAGTCAGAGAAGGTTTACACACACGGAACGCCGACTATTGAGTGCAGGATTCTTTCTTGCAAGTGTAGCACAGTGCGATCGTACGATCTTGACGTTTCGGGGCACTGTGGAGTCGCGAACAGCTACGGTTCATTCTCGCTGTCGTCTGCTCGTCGTCTCCTTCGCGGGTTTGCGCTTGGGAGACGCACAAACAACAGACGTGTCATCACATGATGGATCCGTCTACAGATTTATCATGTCGTGCTCTCGACGCGAAGATAGGCCCTTACGCGTTGCGTTCAAAGGCGGCACACCTATGTGTGATCGCGCACAACACAGTGTTTGTCAGAAATGGGAGCGACTCTTCAACACATTGCTATGTAGCGATGCAATTCCGCTCAGACGCGTCTCTTTTCCATCTAGGTTATGGTGAAAGAAGAGACAGGCAAGTTTATCAAGAACGCGAGAAATGGCATAAGCAACAATAAGACCTTTCAGCAATAGGCCACGCAGACGATGATAAATGTAAGGCCAATCACTCATTCTGTGCTTTCCGGTTTTAGTATCAATTATGAGGCTTGTATATTCTTATATTTTAGTTTCTCGTCTGCCCTAGTCGACAATACTATTAAGAGGAAATCGACTCTTTATTTTCATTTACCTTCATTATATTCGCTACAGTTTGTGACACATCTTGCATGTGATTCGCTCGTTATCGCTCATTTCGTCAAATATGTTATGCTTAATATAAAAGCGACAATATTTATTCCACAGTAATTCATCTACTGAATATAAAACAAAAAACAGCACAATACCTGTTGGTGGTATCCAATGAAGCGGCCCACGATGTTGGCGTTGTTGACAACATTAAAGTGAGAGAGCCGCGCTGGCTTAGGCTGCCCCGTCGTACCCTAGGTTAAAACGAATGCCAGAATGTTTACTATGGTTGTTATGTATGAAGACATAGCGCTTTTCTTTTTACACATAAAATAAGTATACTTTATTGCTCTTTCTTTACGCAACACCGACAGGTGCGGCTTTCAGTGGCTGGCTTTCCAACAGTAACATTACACGTACAAATATGACGAACATTACCCGTATATTTTATATCTGAGCCTATATAGGTGCTATATTAAAATATACATAAAAGACTCTATAACAAAATTGAAAGTGTTTTAGGTGGTCGCACTTGCTGTAAATAAGACATTATATTGCCCCATAGATTGTGTGCGCCTTGGCGGCTCCCATGTTTCTGGCCGTGCAAGGTTGCCCAATAACCGGACGAGCCATTCATATTGTCACGAATGACAAATGATGACGCGGCGAATAACTGGAGGAACTATGCGTTTAATGGAACCCCCTAAGCTGTGCCTAAACTAGAAGAACGTTAGCGTCGCTTGCGTTGATGTCGAAGAAACAGCCGGAATATGCGCTGGGGAAAGACTCACTCCGGCCCCCCACGCGGAGCCGCTTACGCGAACGTGTTGGTGTCTGGAAAAATCGGCGTTGAAGGTCCGGCGTTTAGAACATTAGGGCCGCCAATAAGCGTGGCAACATTCGTACAGCCTGTATAAATTTGTGCAGCGCAGACCCTCCGCGGCTGATAGCCCAGATACATGGAGACTGTATTACTCCTTCTCTCCACGTCGAATTTCATATCGTTTGCTAGTTACAAGACCCAAGGTTCCGTGGTACTCCTTTGAATCGGTTATGCAGCGTGGCAAACCGAGTTTTGAATCGAGGCCATATTGTCACGCGCGTGTCTGAGCAAGTGCACCTCTGGATCGAATGGTTATCGTTCTTGACTGCCACGCAAAGGGCCGATGTTCGATGTCTGGCCGTGGATGCACCATTTGATGTTTTTTTGTAAATGTCGCATTCTTGTAAATTCAAGAGCCCCGTTGCCTGTTCGACAACTGAATGTTCTACGCGCCGAACCTTCCACGCCGATTTTTCTAGAAGCCCACGCGTGTACATAAGGGGCTCCGTGAGGGAGGCGGAGTCAGTCCGGCCCCTGCGCTATCCTGCTGTTTCGCTGACATCCACGCTTGCGATGCCGGATGATATCTATTGTGCTTCGGGTATAAGTTCGCCCCATTAAACGTTTAGTTTCCTTCAGTCATTCGTCGGCTAATCAATCGTAATTAGTGGCACATTGGTGAAGGTTTGGGTATCGCCTTCTATGCCAGTGAAACGTAACCCTTAAAATATCTGTAGGGATCGATCTTTTTCAGCTATTCCCCCTTCGATGAACCCTGAACCCGGGACAGCCGCCGCAACCAAGGCCAGCTTTCGGATTTCAGTTAACTGTCACAGCAGCCGAGGAAGGCGAACACTCCGATGAAGTGGATCGTGTCGCAAAAGGCACAAGCTTGCCTTTACGTCGTTTTCCTACCCTTTGCCACTCGGAGAGCGGCACGGTTTCATGGCCAGATTCACGAGGCCGTTCAAGGCTGGCGCGACCAGTACGACCGAGTGGTGTGACACAATTGGACGCCAAAACAGTGCCTGGATAATGCTTACTTAAGCGCTGGTTTAAGAACCACGAGCCAACGTTCTCATCGTGGTTTATCTGCACGAGCCTGTTAAAGCGGACGTTCGCTACTCCACAGTGATGGTAGATTGCAGAGGACCCTGTTCGAAAAGGCCGATCGACGCCTGTTTTGCTGCCACTGTGGGAAGCCAACCATATTTACGCCGTTACCACTACCGGCGAATAGGGCTGCAAGGCTTCCACCCAAACAACCCACGTCCATGCTACGATGAGCGACTGCGGGAGATCGAAGGGTACCTCCGACAACCTCAGTCTTCTTCACCTGCACATCGCCGCGGCTCTCCGTCGCCGTCACCACGAGGTCCAGCTTAGCCAATGAAAGGGCCCCGTTGCGAGAGCCTGTTGCTTTGTCAAGACGGTGAAACCAAACACGGAAACCCCCGGAGTTGGAGTTTCTACGGAGCGAGGACGTAAAGAGCCTTCAAAGAGGACGAGAACGTCCCTCTCGATCGTCGCCATGCAACGGAGCGACGCTTCTACAACGGTGTACAACAGCCTCAACGTGACCATCGACGGCCACGACGCGACGGCACTCCTGGACCCCGGAGAAGACTGCTCCATCTTGAGTGAGAGGTTTTCAAGCCGTCTTGTGGAAATGACGACGCCGCGGTATGACGTTCAGTTATGAACCGCTGGAGGGCACCTCCCCAAACCAGATGGGAGCTCTTCTCGCGTCGAGGGTCATGTTCGTCTTTCTGCAAGACTCTTCGAGGGGCGTTATCCTCGGAATGGACTTTTTCTCTACGAGGACGGCGCCGTCATCGACCTGGGTGCCAACCAGCTAGCGATACGAAAACTTGATCCACCAACGGAGGAACCCAGAGCGGTTATCTGCGGTCAGAGTCCTCAAGAAACACGAAAACGTACCGCCGTGATCCCGTGTTTTCTGCGGCAAAGTTCTGCTCGAAGGAAGCATTCATTTCCTTATAGAAACGAGAATCGGTGCCGCACGAGGAGTAACAGAACTTTAAGATGGGCGCGTCAAGATCCTGGTCACAAATTGTTGACAAAAGCCGCAACACTTGACGAAAGGTTTTGCTGTGGGTCACATCCACAAACCATAAAACTCAGCGTCAATCGTTGCACTTTCCGAAGAGAGGACATCATTGAAGCAGGCGAAATCGCCGCCTTTGGAACTTAGCATTGACTCGAGGCTCCCAGCTACTGAACGAGGACAGGCTGCTTGACGTTCTGAGTGAATTGGGCGAGTGTTTCACCACATTATCTAGCGTGCGACAAACAGCGGTAGCGAACCACGACATCGTTACTGATGGCTACGCTCTCCGTGTCCAGCAGTCGCCATACCGAGTCTCATGTAGGTAAGGGAGGTGATGTAACATCAAGTTTATTAAATGCTCGACGGATATCAAGTAACCCTCAAGAAGTCCGTCGGCGCGCTTTGTGGTCCTTATAAAGGACAGAACCATGAGGTTTTGCGTGGGCTACCGTTGGCTGAACGGTGTGACTAACAAGAACGTCTATCCGCTTGCCCGCTTTGTCGATACATCAGACCGGGTGCGCCGCTGCCGATAGTTTTCGTCGATGGACTTGAAAAGTGGCTACCGGCAGATTAAAGTCAACAAACGCGACCGCGAGAAAACTGCTTTCGTCACTCCCGATGGACTGTACGAGTTCAAAGTGATACCGTTAGGACTTCGTACAACACCAGCTATCTTCCAGCGTGTCATGGACACCGTGATAGAAGGTATGAAATAAAAAAGCTGCCTCGTCTACCTTGATGATGATGTAGTACTTTAACTAGACTTTAACGAACACCTGAGACGACTTCGAGCAGTTCTTTAAGCCATCAAGGCCGCCGGCCGGTTACTCAATTCTAGAAAATGTCAATTCGACTGTGGTGAAGTAAGGATCCTTGGCCACGTCGTGAACAACAAAGGTGTTCACTCTGACCTCGAGAAGACACGCGTCGTAACTGCATTTACGCGACATCTTAGGAGAAGACCTTGAGAAGACTTCTCGGACACTGTTCCTACTACAAGCGGTTTGTTCTGGACTTCGCGAAGCTGTCCGCACCGCTGCGGCACTTCAGCAGGACGCTGTAAAGTTTGAAAGGACAGAAAAAAATACCAGAGGTCATTAGATGAGCTAAAACAAATTATCCAGAATTTCCCGAGTCTTGCCATTTTGAGCAGTTTGTTGCAACAAAGATCGACATAGACGCCAGTAACACCGGACTTGGCGCGGAACTAGTCCAAAGCCTGGAGGCGGTAGAACGAGACATCGCCTTCGCAAGTCGGACGCTGTCTAATGCGGAGAGAAGCAACTCCACAACTGAAAAGGAGTGTCTTGCTGTGGTCTGGGGAACAACAAAGTTTCGCCGGTATTCCTGAGGAAGTCCTTTTTGTCCACCACTCGCTCTGCTGGCTCTGTAATTTGAAGAATCTTTGCTGACGATTCGCCCTGTGGAGCCTACGACTGTAGGCAATCAACATGACCGTATTGTACAAGTCAGGCAGGAAGTGCAATGACTTTGATTAGCTCTGCGGAACCCCGTCGGGGCCTTTGTTGCCTGCAGCAAAGGCGAGGACGACAAGTGTTTCCTCGGCACTCGGAATGTCAGCGACATTACAGCGCGCCAGTGGCCGAATCTTTTTCGTGCTTGGCTCGCATGCAAAGGGCCGAGTTAACATGCATGGTCGCGGATGAATATTTTTTGTTGTATCTGTAAATGTCGCGTTCTGTTGAATTCAAGAACACCGTTGCTTGTTCGGAGACCACATGTTCTCGACGCCGAACCTTCTACGCCGATTGTTCAAGAAGCTCACGCCTGTACACTCCGCGTGGCGAGCAGGAGTCAGTCTCGCCCCTGCGCATGATCCTCTTGTTTCGCTGGCATGGACGTCCGAGACGTTAAGCTTCTTCTCTTTGTCACAAGCCTGCCCCTTTGGACGCTCAGTTTCCGTCAGTCATTCGTCGCCTCATCAATTGCCATTAGTGACAATTTAAACATATGGCACCTCATAGGAAATAAATATTGACCATCGGATGTTCCCTCTTATTATTTTAGCTCCGTGCGGATGAAGTGACTGGAGAGAGAGATAGGATTGGCGCATTTGAACAAAATTTCAGGGACAGGCTAACCTTCTAGAGGGAGAAAAGCATCTCGGGGGCGGCGGGGGGGGGGGGGGGGGGGGGGGGGGCTAAAGAGTCCGGAAAAAAGAGGAGTTTCTAACACCCATAATCTTCATCCGTTAGCATTACACCCTCACCCCAGTGAACGTGAGAATGCTGATGACAACAATGCTCGTTTTAAAATTCAGGACCACATTAAATTGGTCCCACTTCTCGCGGAGAATTCAACTTTCCCGTTTTATATAGGTAATGGAAATAAATGTACATTAATTTTACTACATAAAATATATATTTTATCTCATTAAGTCGTACATGTTTTAAACGGCGAAACCATCGCCTCTTCCTTCGACAACCTAATATTGTAAGAACTACTTCGCGCGGTGCGTGAACAATGCGTAAAATGTCTTTTTTTTTGTGTGAAAACGTGTATAGCAGAAATGGCTATGATTCATGCGTCATATTCCATAAAGTTTACTATGTCGAGGCTCACGGACCTCGGAAGTAAGAAAAGGGGCTGCTCAGAGTTAGCTTATCAGAAGAATTATGCAGCATCCGGGTGGAACTGAATGCTCAGCTGCCCATTCAATGAAACGAACCATGTACTGAGGAGTATAAAATCTGACATTTAAAAAGTGTTCCGGTATTTCGTCTTATTGATTTTCAGGGACTATTTTCAAAATGTCATTCACCTTTCTGTGCCTGCTTGACGCGATTTGGCGTTCTAATGTGCTGCACGTAAAACACTTCCTATGACTATGAAGCAATCTCTCAGGAACCATTTGTAATTTCAAATTAAAAAAAATGTAGGACAATAATGATATACAATATGCGTCGACCTTGCTTTGAGTTTGTTTTTGACTTGTATTTTGAAGTCATAATAATTAGGAGTTCGTTCTTTTTAGAGTTATTTCTTTCTTAAATTTGGAGTTTGTGGTTCGGAGTTTCTTTTTCGGAAAAAGTTCGGGGTTTATCATTTTTGTATATTCGCCAGTTTTTTGTAAGTAGAATATTTTTTTTACTGTTTACTTTTACACTTTTTATAACGAGATTAAACAATATCCGGACACAAACGTACGGTATATTCATAATAACTCGCCTTTATCGAAGGATATGCCAGCAGCTGCACTTAGCATTGGTACTCATGTGATTGGCAATAATAACTGTACTACAACAAATGTTGAAATAAAGTGTTACTTTAGTGATTGTCAGTGCTTTGAAACACCTAAACATCCGGATGTAGTCCCTGGGAATCAAGTATCTTCAGCTGCACTGTCCCCTCTTAATAAAATTTACAGTTTCACGGGTTTCATTCTTATTAGAATACAAACAGGTCTCCTTCAAGGAAGCGCCCATAGTATTCTTCATGCTGAAAACAGGAGCAGTGACTTTTTTCTTGACCCAGAATTGCATGGGTCACGGAAACTTCAGTCGGTTAAATGTTAACTCCCTTTTGTGACGAGTTTGATATATCAAAGAAAACTAAAGTTGATTGCCCTCAGGAACACCGTCCTTGTGCTTTCAAAAAGATGTATCACTACGATACTTTTTTGTATTGGGTTTAATTTTACCGTAGTGACCTCGAAAATCTTGCTTTTTCGGATAAATCTAATATTACAAAAAATTATACCCCCGAGTGTTTTGTTGAAACTCTTCGTGTTTTTCCGAAAACACGGAATTTTATTTATAACCTACAAAATAATTAAATGCATTGTTGCTAGAATGTGCGAAGCGCCTTAGTCGATATGAGCGTGCCACCGAACAGCCCCACAATTATCCGCGTCGCCCGATAGAATGTGGGATAATTGCGAAGTGTACTAAGCTTTTCCGTAGGGGTGAATTAATAAAACATGGACAAGTGATCCTCAATATGTCGACAATCTCTACGATGGTCCGGCCGGTCGCAGAAAACTGCAGGACTGTAACAACCTCCGGGGAATGGGCTTCACATGCTGCTATTCTCTCTCTGTTGCCATGGCAATGGCTAAGTTTTAGAATATTGTTCCATGTGAGATGCGGGTGTTCTAAAGGTTAGAAATTTAGCTTTTTAACACTTACCGATGAAAATTGAATAAAGGCGTCCCGGTCGAACTGCACTTTGGCAGACACGGAGTTCATGGTGGCGTGGTCTTCAGGCGTCCCTGAATTTATCAGGTCATCGAAAGTGATACTGCCGCTGCAACAAAAAAGAACGTCGATTGACCGCATCCACGTAATTGGAGAAATTGTCTCTGAGCCCTGTCATTTACCATCAATACCTTTTTTGTCAGTTCCAGCGATGACGATACCATTTAGGCGGTAAGCACAAGTCGTTTCCCAAATCCCATAATAATAAACTGCATAAACCGCTTCAACAGTGACCTATACCATTATACAGAACCCCCCCCCCCCCCCCTCCCAACAATTTGATGTGGCCAAGTTTCAATAAACATATAGGACAAACTGCTCTTATGCGCGGGGTGTCTGAGACCTAGTGTAGGAAACTTCCTGTAAAGGAGCTTTTGCAGGCGAATGGGAGTGTTGGGTCTTTCTAACTACTCTCTTGAGTGGGATTCTCTTCTCCCAGCGGTGTCCCACTGCTGCTAAGCCTTGGAGAAAAAGCTATTTATCTTTATCTTCACACCAATCGCGCATATACCTGAGGGGAATGTCGTTACTGTAGGGTTGCTCTTCTTCTAGATGTTTTTTGTATGCAAGAAACAAGGGAACATGTGACGCGGTAACACATTCGACGAGTAAAGTTGATGGGATAAACGCTTATGCACGAAAACTCATTTGAGTGGCGTCTAATTCATAACTTCTACATATGCATGTTTGGGTGAGTTGTCTCTTCATGACTGATAGGTAACAGCGCACGAGATAACTCACACACTCAGAACACGCGCACACCGGCAGAAAGAAACCTCTCACGTCGTGACTTGAGACGTTCCGTTTTGCAAATGTTCGCGTGTCCTCAGTGTGTGAGGTATCATGTACGCTGTCATGGAAAGGTGCTTTTTTATTGTAAACGTTACTGGGTGGAGTGGCAGTCTTGACGTCCCTGCGAACTTCCGGTTTTAAAAAATAATGAACAAAACCCACCTAACATTGCCGCTTGTAACGTCGATAAAATATTTATTCACAAATTCTCTAGGCGAAAACTAAAAGAACAAATAATTTCGAGATTTGTTCACGCATTTTTTAATATTTTTTTAGCAAAATTGTCTCTAATGCGTTCAATCGTACAGACGAAGGCTCTCGCTGTCTGTGTAGTAGTTATGCTTTCTAGCCCTGGTTACATAAGCAATCTCGACAGGCTTGCAAAGACGGAGGTACGAGAAATTGCTTCAGCGGTTCAGTGATTCAAAGTTATAAAGGGTAAAATTGTCTAAAATTGATGAATGTGTAAGATTTTCCGCGCATCAATACTTTGAATCCATGTTGTACAAAAAAGAATATCTCCAAACTTCGTTTTAAAAACGTGCCTTTTGAGTAAAACTCGTCAAATTATGTGGCGCTGGAGAAAACCAGCCTTCAGCGTTAAGTCCTTATTTCGAACTCTGTTCGCGTTCTGCCCATTGAAAAGCATGTCAGACGGGCCTCAGCACGCACCTTTTATCGCTGCGCCGACATGTTCTTCCGCAGCATGGAGGCGGTCTGCTTTCATCGCAGTCACCATGGCAGCAAGCACCGAATGATTGGAAGCATGCACGGTACCACCGTGTGAAGCCACCAGCAGCTGGCACCATTTTCCGAACGCTGTCTGCTAGCCAAAGTTTAATAGGTTTGTAATGAGCAGCCACAGACTGTCGCCGCGAAGCGCCGTGAACGCAGACGAAAAGGTCCGAAAAGTCATTAGGCGTTCGTTACCATGGTGACGGCGATTAATACAGTCGGTCTTTATGCCGCGGAAAAACACTGCTGCTCAGTGATACGAGGCGTGTGCTGGGCCGCTTTCGGAAAGCTAACAAAAATAGTTCGAAATAAGGACTTTACGCAGAAGGCTGGTTTTCCCCAGCGCCTCATAATTTCACGAGCCTTACACGAAAAACGTGTATTTTTTGGCCATCCCACGCCGATTTTTTTTTTCGTAATATGGGTTAAAAGCATCAGACTGAAACATTTTTGTGTGACCCCCTGCGATAAAAAAAAAGAATAACTGTAGCCGAAAGCGTTCTTGTGCGGAGGTGCCAAAAGTACAATACCGACAAAGGGCAAATGCCGGTGTTTTCACCAACCCATAGCAAAAGGTGTCTTGCATTTTCATTGGCCTTCGGAAATAAACCGCTATTTTGTTATGGACGAAATATTAGTCTTTGACAAAGGGGAAAGGAAATACCGCGATGGCCTTGAAGTTTTGCCCACTACTAACTACAAGACCTGTTTCGATTTATCAAGTGTGGTATGTAAAGTGTTTCGTGTTTAAAGGTAAACCCGCAAAACAGTTTTTTTTTTATATCGTACTCAAATTTATTTTATAAAATCGAATTTATTCTACATCCTGCATTTTGACGTGACCTCGTTAAAAGAAGCTGCAACCTACAAATAAATATTGTTTAGGATTAGTCAATGATCTTTACTAGAGACCACTCAAGCTTCGTTTCAAATCTTAGACCACTGACAAGAAAATGGTATACTGTTTATCACTTCAGATGTTTCTTTCAAGACAATGCCTCATTGTACCCCTGTGCCTAGAAAAACGTCACTGATTTGTTTTCAATTTGGACCGTACTTTTTTGTCTTTTGGAGGTAGGAGGGTTTCTGTTTATATGGCTAATCGTTATAGATTTGCACATTTATTACAGAGCCAAAATTACTTCAGCCCGCTATTTTGCGCAGCTCGCGGAGCTTATGGAATACGATGGGAAGAAAACAAACTTTCCAGCGATTATGTTGAGGAGTTGACGTTTCTTTAAGTATCGAAATTGAAGCAACAAATGTCTGGAAGATTTGTTATGAGAAAATTAGTAATACCAATAAAATGGGGTTTATTGGGGAATCCAACAGGAATAATATCATTTGGTAGAACTGAGTTCTTATGAGCATGATGCGCTTCTCTGTCCGTATTTTTTTGTCTTAATAGTGAGGAAGTGGGAGGATGGCAAAATTAAAGTATAAAATATGAAAAGATTGAGAAGTAAAAAAGGCGCAAATTCAACAACACCTTACGAGTTAAAAAAAAAAGACTTCGAAAACTATAAAATTAGCCGATAGCTAGGTTACCTGTACAGCCCTTCGCGGAAAACAGTTTCGTAATCCTCGTTCGATCTCCCATCCGCAGGATTTGTATCCGCTCCCGAACCGTATTCGCTATGTCCATAAACTATGGTATCCGCATTCGATCGCATCCACGAATTTTGTATTCGCGAACACACCGCACCCAAAACGTTTTGAACCTCATCCTACCAACAATCCGCGCGTTCATTTTACATCTTGAAATTGGGCATGAATGAAAAGAAAGAAAACATATTGTTGCTACTTCACGAGCCGTTTTTTGGCTTATTGTACAAAATACCTCTCAAGTCAGATACGGTGAAATAAATTTCATGGAATTTTTAATGGTATTCCTATTACAAGCAACCATCCTTCTAGAAACACACACACTCTCCCGAGCAGATGCGATCCAAGCAAAGGAAATTTTAATAGTTATTTTTCTTATTTGGTTTTAACACCCACTTTACGGCCGCCCATGTTTTTGAAACATGATAAATACAAAGTTGCAGGCCAATGGGATACGGTAATTTTATTTAGGCCGAAAATAGAAAACGGCAACTGAAATGCGGTTACTCAAGGCGGCGAAATACTCCTGATACAACACTAAGAAAAGAAGGATCGAGATACACCTAAGCACTTCGTATGAGTTGTGAATGCCAAAGCATTTACATTATTATTATATGCAATTAAATGCAAAAGTGCAAGCGAGCTGGACCAGAATGACAAAGTAATCCCTGAGAAGGGGAACAAGAAGGGGAACAATCGTTGAAACTAACGCTGCATGTTAGTTAAATCGACCGGCCACCTTATGGCGCTCCGTGTCCGTCAGCACCAAATTAGCACCAGTCAGTGCGCCAACACGCGTGTTCCCCTTCTTGTACGGGAACACGCGTGTTGGCGCACTGACTGGTGCTAATTTGGCGCTGACGGACACGGAGCGCCATAAGGTGGCCGGTCGATTTAACTAACATGCAGCGTTAGTTTCAACGATTGGCCGTCCCATGGCGCTGCGTGTCCGGCCATTGGGATCCTGGTCGACGCGCGCTAGCCAATCGGATCGAAGCGGTGTAAAAGGTGCCTTGGCTAACCGGCAAACGGGAGCTGGCTTGACTTCGAGAAGGCTTTCAGTGCCGTTTGGCATGGTTTCAAATCTGATGACGCCGGCTCGCTCCATGTGACAGTTAATGCTTTCGCAATAATATCATATGATTCAGTAATGACAACTATTTTATCGGTTTAAGTATTCAACACGACGCCACCACTGCGTTATCCGAACCAAATACTCAGCCGCAACTTTCAATCTGCCGAGAAAAGAAAAACGCATACAAGGGCATTGTTTAATTTGTCGGGTTGCTTTGCTGAAATAGGTGATCGCCAGCGATCGGCGAACTCAGACTGGGTTGTTTTGAATTTTAAGACCCGCTAATGAGGACACTTTCTCCGCCAATACCTTTGATGCTAGAATGGCATGCAGGAACTGCACTACAAAAGTTATGTACAAAGGCTTCTGTTGGCTTACGTTCCGCCACTAAAGAAGAACGAGTTCAGCCTCCTGGATCCACTGGTACGTGATGTTTTTCAATGCGAAAGCGTAATTGTCTCATGGAGCGGCCCTGGCAATATCAGTTACTTGAAAACGTGAGAGAAATTTCCATTCTCCCTTTCGCTGAGGAAAATGGAATGCCCATTGGCTACGACGCGTCATAGTTCCAAGGAACTTCACCCCAGAGAGAAGTCCTCTCTTGGCGCTGCGGCCCGCTCGCCGATAAAAGGGAGAGGGTGGCAGACGCGCCGACGCCTCTCCCTTCCTTTTTTCGCCTCACGTGTCAAGGAAGCGTGACGGGTGGCCGGAGGCCCGTAGGATCTGGGGAGGAGAGGAGGAGCAGAGGGAGCAAGTAATTTTCGCTAGTCACTTGTTTTACGCTCTGCTTTCGTTGCTTTTTGCTTTTTAATCTGCTTTTTAATCTGGCGATGCGTGGTCTA